TTCATATTCATGACGTTTCGGCCGCTGTTCGCTTCGGCCTTTTTCAGGTGATATACTTCGGAATTTCAAACCGAAATCTTTTTTTTATTCCAGAGGGTAGATTGTTCTAATTCCAAGTTTCATGCTCTTTTTCATGAGTATCTCAGTTTCAGTAACTCGTCTCTCCAAGTTTTTGTTCAGCTCTGCTATGGCCAGGTATTGAACTTACAGCACTTTGAGTCAAGTCATTTTTAGGTTACTTTAACCAAAACTTTTATCCACTGGGTCATGTGTCCCCAAGGTCTTGATCCAAAGTTCAATCCCTGTTCAATGTGACTATTAGTTTCACGCTTCAATGTGATTCTTCAAGACAGGTGGAGTATTCATTTTTTTTTTTTAATGAGAAGACATTTCACATCCCGCGATCTATAAGTCACGTGTATACTGGGAACATCTAAAGAAATGCACATTTGAAACCGTGTAGTGTCCAACTTTCTCTTCGTCGTCCTCCTTCTTCTTTTTCTATTTCTTCTTCTTCTTCTATGAGCCATGTCTCTTCAGGACGGTAACGATAATCGCTCTCCACAAGTTCCTATCCCTTGTAACTCTTAACAATGTTTGTATATTTACTAGCCTGCCCATTCCCTGTCCTGTTATAAATTCACACAAGTTGTTTAGGCTACATTGTTTCTGTTCCTCTTGCCATTGATATGCCTGACGAGCCGTCTTTTTATGTATCATAGAAATTTCAACAGTCTCTTCCTGATTCGAAGTATGTGATCTTCGTGAATGGTGTTACCAGTCGACTATTTATAGGGCATGATGAAGAGGTCTATTCGCACGCAAGATCCTGTACCTGCAGAGATCAGGGATCTATAGACAGTTATCTTGTCTCAACATCTCCCCAGAGGTTTTGTGCAATTGATGACATGTTGAGGTGCACCAATCCACCGAAATGGTGTCTTACACGATAATAAGCTTCTGTAAAATGACTTTTGGTAAGTCAGTATACATACCTATCCGTGCAAAGATAAACATACACAAGACTGCATACGCACACCCATACGCATCTATGTGTGAGTATATGTAATCAGTTGATTGAATGATTGATTCATTTTCCTGATAAAATTATTGATTTCGTGCATGGACCCAGGCCTGCAGCAAAGCCGTATAGATCTCTCCTCTATAAATGAAACATCTGTTAACTGGGGGAGAAAAAGATGCAAAACAGATAAGAATAAGGGAAACAAATTCCGGCAAAATTGAAACTGAATGAAACGAAATTAATTGAATCTTTGCAATTCCAATGCGGTTTTCTTTATCAGCGAAAACTGAGCATTTATAGATTCGACTCTACGATCAGGCCTCATCGAACGATTTTTGAAAATCAAGGCAATTAGTCACACCTGTTTCTCTATACATTTAGCTTCTCCTGTTTTGTTAACAGTCTAATACTTTTCTTTATTTTTGTTAGTTAACTATTTCTCTCTCTCTCCCTTCGCTATCCCTATCTATCTATCTATCTATCTATCTATCTATCTATCTATCTATCTATCTATCTATCTAGTAATGATACAATATGGTAATCCGTATGGAATTTCCCGGAGGATATGCATCCAGGCAGAGCTCTATGTCAAAATTATTATTAATTAAAGAATACCAAACACTTAAAATCCCATAGGTAATAATTATTTATTTCATGAGAGATCTAAAAAGCAGCTCTCAATATTTGTAGGTTTGTAGGTCTTGAAGATTGAGAGCTATTTTTTAAGAGTTCTCATGAACTAAAAATTATTACCTATGGGGTTTTAAGTGTTTGGTATTCTTTAATCTATCTATCTATCTATCTATCTATCTATCTATCTATCTATCTATCTATCTATCTATCTATCTATATCTATCTAGGACTAAAAAGCCACATTAATACTACCTATATTTGAGAATTAACTCCTCTCTCTCTCTCTATATATATATATATATATATATATATATATATATATAAATAAGGACAGGACGAAAAAGCTACATCAACGCTGCCAATATTTGTGAATTAACTAATTAATTTTTTTTCCTCCCTTTCTCTCTCTCTCAATATATATATATATATATATATATATATATATATATATATATATATATATATGTATATGTAAATATATATGCATGCATGTTTCATTAAAAATGACACACAAGATACTACGGTTAGGTGTATCGTCAGGTGTCTGGATAGGTATGTAGCTGATCAAAATCACAACGAACGAACATTATCCTTGAGTTCAAATGCCCCCTTAAGGAACTGTGTTTCTGATCAAACCGAACTATATCGGTCATACAACTACATGCCTATACAGACGTCTTACCTTACACCTATCTGACCACAGCTCTATTAGAACCCATTTAAACACACACAAAAATCTACCAGACTCCATTCAAAACATACTAGTAGAAAACACAAACATAATAACCTCATCCACTTGTAAATTAAGATTAAAAATAATGGAAGCCCTAATATTAAAAAAGAAAAAGCTAACTCTTAAAATATTAACTACGAATAAGGCTACAATGTGCCAACCGTGTTCGGAAAATAAAAACACCTCTATAACACACTAAAAGCATACACATAATGCCCACACTCAATTAAACTGAAAAAATAAAATCATCGTTGATAATGGCTAAAAGTATAGCCGAAAGTGCTCGGAGCTATAGGACATTTGGACAGTTTCTACACACTTTGTGTCCAAAAAAGAAATCTCTTGTGCGATCACAAGAAAAATTAAATAAAAAGGTTAAACGTAGTACCTTGTCTGTCGTTTTTAATGAAACATGCATAAATGAATGATTGCTGCCTAAATACATATATATATATATATATATATATATATATATATATATATATATATATATATATATATATGGGGAGGTCTTTCAGCGTTTAACTGAACATTTTTGAAATAGCACTTTTAATCACTACCTTATTAACTGGTACAACCTAAACAATGATTAGATTTGTTTTATACACGACTGTTAAGCTTTTCTACTGACGATTAGCGTGTAGTATCTGTTACAGGCCCCCAGCCATTCTCAGGTGAAATAATTTGCGCTTTCTGTCGAAAGATCTCTAATATTTTACTGTTTATATGAACAACCCAGGACGTTTTTTCAACCTAAGATCAGAGCGTAGTATCTACCCGATTCTTCTATTACGAAACGATTCGATGGTGGAAATGAATTTATCTGCCACTCCAACGACCGAGACGCTTCATCTAAGATATTCACATAATTCAAAAATATTACAACTAAGTATAAAATCAAGAGAAATAAGATGAAAGAAAAACTCGTTGAAAATTAATAAGGCTTCAAAAACATTGGCAACTTAATAGTAGGTGTAAACGTAAGAATACTACAATGAAAAGAAGACTATTTAAAGAGATTAATAATTGACATTGCTTCAAGTATTTTGTCAGTACTTCAACTAGTAGTAGGTACTAAAGTCAATGACATAAGACGAAATAAATAACCATTTCACTAAGCTCAACGTCGATGAGTGAAGGATAGTGCTGCTTTTATTAATTCGATGTTGATAATCAAATTTATTCAGTACAATGTTTGTATAAATAACTAAGAAAAGAATTAATTATTAAATTTACAGTATATTCGATTGTCCGATCTGGCAAACGGGGAATTGTCAACAGTGGCACATTTCAGATATTTCAGGATTGCCTGCAGAATCCAAGAGAAACAGTTCTTTATAAATAATCGAATTCAAAACGCACCTGTATGCTAATTTCGTGTTTACACTTTACTTCATACACAGATCAGGAAAATGTCGTAATGTCTTCAATTCCGTTAAACGAAAAACAAACATTATAGACTTCTTTGAATATGTGGTCTCATAATTAAAAAAAAAACAACAACAATAAAAAACATGAATATTATTTATTTATTCAATTTTCTTTCTGATACATCGCGAGGAATTCTGCCGAAAGGTGGACAAATGCAGATATAAAATATATGACACGTTCCATTTTAAATTTCAGCTTTTTCTGATTGCAAATGCAAACGGGTGAAATATTTGTTTAAATAAGTTTCATTTTTTACAGCACAGAAGCAGAATGAAAATGATTTTATTTACATTGTAAATTGAACCAATATTACGAGGATTTCTTTCATATTATTTCATTTGTTATATTTGAACTCGCCGTATTTATTGTAGGCGTATGGATTTGGTGTAATAGAATATCGATGAGTCGAATTCGAATTCCAGTCAAAATCGTTATATTCACTTTCATACAAATACCCTAGGAAGAAGAGAGTCTATCTTCCCCCCCTTATCTATGGATTAAATAATAGAGCAAACAGATTCTCTAGTCGTGTTTGGAAAAAATAAAAAAGAAAGGGAATTCTAAATTAAATAATTAAACTGTAACTAATGTTCACCTTGAATAATTTCGGTGATATGACGTTAAACACACAAAACAAACAAAATAAATCCTACCTAGCCATCACGGACACCTTTTTTTTTCTTTTTTTTTACGCCAAGTTTGGTATCAAGACATCATAATGGCGCTGCCAGTAGAAGATCAAATAAACTAAACATGGCTTGCAAGTCTACCTGCCTAAACGCCACTCATGAAAGGCGCTTACGTTTATTTAATGAGATTTGGTCTGCTGCAACGCCATAACAGCGAAAGAACTAATGATGATCGAAGTTTCAAGTTACGCCTGGCAAGGCAAGAACAATAATGTATGTTCTGCATCAAATATGAATATCTACGTGCATGTCTATCTATGTTTATATAAGCATCAGAATACTTGTAAATGCTTGCATTTGATTTTTAAATACAATCTTGATTTTAAGCGTATTAAATATGACTATTCCATGTGTGTCTTTCTAAGAATTCCATAACAGGAATGGAATTGTATTTGTGTTCGAATGACGTGAAACAATAGCTTTTCCCACAAAGCACGAAAGGAGGAAGAAATGTAGACATAAAAGACTTAAAAACCTGAAAGAAAAAGCATCAAGAAAGAAAGAAAGAAAGAAAGAAAGGAAGAAAGAAAGAAAGAAGGAAAAAGCATCCAGAAAGAAAAATAAAAGCAGCCGGAAAGGAAGACCCAGTAAGAAAGAAGAAAAAGAAAGAAAGAAAAAGCATCAAGAAAGAAAGAAAGAAAGGAAGGAAGAAAGAAAGAAAAAGCATCCAAAAAGAAAGAAAGAAAGAAAGACAGGAAGGAAGGAAGGAAGGAAGGAAGGAAGGAAGGAAGGAAGGAATAAATAAAGAAGGTAAAAGCATCCAGAAAGAAAAATAAAAGCAGCCGGAAAGGAAGACCCAGTTAGAAAGAAGAAAAAGAAAGAAAGGAAAAGCAGAAAGAAAGAAAGAAAGAAAGAAAGAAAGAAAGAAAGAAAGAAAAAATATCTAAAAAGAAAAATAAAAGCAGCCGGAAAGGAAGACCCAGTTAAAAAGCAGAAAAAGAAAGAAAGAAAAAGCATCAAGAAAGAAAGAAAGAAAGAAGGAAAAAGCATCAAGAAAGAAAAACAAAAGCAGCCGGAAAGGAAGACCCAGTTAGAAAGAAGAAACAGAAAGAAAGAAAAACATCAAGAAAGAAAGAAAGAAAGAAAGAAAGAAAGAAAGAAAGAACAGGAGAAAGAAAGAAAGAAAGAAAACGCATCCAGAAAGAAATATAAAAGCTGCCAGAGAGAAAGAAAGAACTGGTTTCTTTCCTCTCTAAAAGAGGAAAAGGACTCTAAAATACACATACATAGCCTGGGAGTTTATTTCCGGGATCATCTCCTGCTTGCTCTTAAATCTTCAGACCATTCGTATATGTGTCTCCGTGTATCTTTCCTCAATTCAGTAAGCTATGTGTTCTTTCGTTGCCATTCCTCCCAAGACCGTGGTGTATTCGATAGTATTTCCAATAATATAGACAATACTATCTCTCTACATCTCTTTGCACACATAGTCGAAATAAATAAAATAAAAAAAATAAAGAAAGAAAAAAGCATCAAGGAAGAAAGAATAATAGAAAGAAAATAAAAGTATCCAGAAAGAAAGAAAGAAAGAAAGAAAGAAAGAAAGAAAAAAGCATCAAGAAAGAAAGAAAGAAAGAAAGAAAGAAAGAAAGAAAGAAAGAAAGAAAACCAGCCAGAAAGAAAGGAACACTCGGTTACTTTCCTCTCTTAGGAAAGGACTCTCAAATACACACGCATAGCCTGGGAGTTTATTTCCGGGATCATCTCCCGCTCTCTCTTAAATCTCCAGATCATCACCTGGGTAAAAGTTAGTATCGAGGCTTTCATCCTTAAAAGAAAAAATAAGGTTAAATCGCGCTCACGTCCTTGGTTCTCAGCTTCTTTAGCCCATTGGGATCACTTCTTTCGTCTGCACCAAAGCGACATGTCTGATTGCAACAGACGTCTCTTTGTCTCTGCTCGTAATGAGTGCAGGCGTGTCCCCAATGAAGCCAAATTACTATTTGCCGAAAGAATGAAATAACGTATTGCATCTTGCAAGTTTAGTTCTAAAGATTATTGGAGGGTCTTATTTAGCAATACTTCCTTTATTCAGTCAATTTGAGGTACAGACTTTCTTAGTTGATAAGGCTGAATTATTTGCTAGGAATTTCTCATCCAATTCAATACCCGACTCATTCGGAGTACCCACACTTGATTCCCCCCCCCTAGAACTGACGCACTATTTTGCGAGATGATGTTATCGGATACTGTTGCAAAAATTGGTTGGAAGCACAAACAGGTAAAGAAAGGTAGTACGAGTCCAATAGTCATCTCGATCTGTTAAATGGGTATACCGTGTTTTTATGCACCTGACCCAGCCAGCACTCAGCCAATGAGAGCCCAGAACCACCCAATAAAAATGGCTACAAGCGACACCACCACATCCATCAACAAGAAGAGCTGTCCGATTCACCATCCGTTTGAAGCTCGTCGATTCGCTGTCTCCACACTCCCTTGCAAAACATACGCACGACTCTGGCTCTTTTGGGTCGCCGAGGTAAGTCACAACTACAGACATCATCTCTAAATTAGACTATCATAAGAACGAGATACCAGTCGTAGTCCTAAATAAATGTGCTCCTGAGCAGGCTCCAGTTTTCTCCAAACTATATAACTATTGCCTCACCGACTCTTGCTTTCCCTCCTATTACAAGTCTTGATCTATTGTCCCTGTTTTTTAAGAACTCTAGAGATCCTTCTGACCTATCTAACTACCATGCTATCAGTCTTCTACCACTCTTCGGCAAAGTCTTGGAGGCTTTAACTAATGCCGAAGTGGTTAAGCACCTTACATTCCATGATCTACTCTCTGACAAACAATATGGTTTCCACTTTGCCCGGTCTACTGCTGACGTGCTTACGGCCATAACTGAATTTGTATACCAAGCACTTAACAATAAAAGCGTAGATCTAGCTGTGGCTCTGAATATCTTTAAGGCGTTTGATAGGGTTTGACATGCTGTCCTCTTTCGTAAACTTCAGGATTACGGTATTACAGTGTAACGTCACCCCGTGGCCTCTCTGCCCAGTCGCCGTCCTGTCCTGCGACGACCAATGTGACTTGGTATTGGTCGCGGCACCAAATGTGACGTTCTAACCCTTTGCTGATTCGGATGGGAATCTGGTTAGATTCGGTATCAGCTTTGTCGTTCCCAGCTCGCCTCCAACGTCTGGTTACCGAAGTAACTGCTTTGATTTCTAGTCTAACATACCCACTTTGTGATTTGATCTTAGGTAGACGAAATCAATCAGTCGCCGGGCCGCAATGCAAGCCGAGTCTGAGCAAAGGTAACACCGCACAAGTATATGTCAAAGAAAATAAAGTAACAACTCAAAAATTTCAAATGTGTTAAAAAAAGAATAACAAATATTTTTATATCTGGTTGCTGAATACAGGACTGAATCTTTCTCCCAAACCGGTAATATGGATACGTGACACTTTGCGTTTGTTAGGTGAGTCTTAACATCTTAAGTTGTTTTTTTCAAGAAACTGGTTTTTGGTGTATCTTCAGGCGATATTCGTAAAACTTGTTTTGTTGGTGTGAGTCTAAGTCGTTCTTCAAAAATAAATTGTTCTTGGTTAGAAGTTGAGGTCAGGAGGCGTGGATCTTCAGTCAGCTTCCTGCGAGGCTGGTCTCAGAGCTCACAGCTTAACTGCAACTAACTTCTCCCTGACTCAACTTCCAACTGCTTTCTGTGTGTCGTCTACTTGCTGCGACTCTGTTTATATAGACGCCGACAAAAACCGGATGTGGGCTTGTCGTGGTTTGGGGTTCCTCGATAATTCTAAATCCACAATAAGGATTTTCTTTGTTTTCGGACAGGAAAATTTATTACTTTCCATTTTTCTTTAGGGGAATCGTCCTCCCAAATTCTTCCTTGTTGGTATCTCACACCAATCCCCTCAGAGGGCGTCAACAGGTTTCCCTTCTTTCTCATAGTGTTAAATCACACCAATCCCCTCATAGGCGTCAACAGGCCTCCCTTCTCTCTCACATGTTTACCTTCGCCTACCGCTCACGCCACCATTCAGCCAATGAACGCTCAACAGCGTGATTGTTTGCAATTATCGCTCAAAGAAAAGAAAAAAAATTATCTTCCTTTTCTTTTTTTTTCTTTCTTTCTCTTCCCCGAGCAGACCTCCCACGATTCGTAGAGTGGTCTCTAATCTCTATCTTAACCGAATGTCACCTGGACTTTATCAATCGAGATTTTCGCTAGCGTCAAGTGGGTTGTTAACTGGACGTATTCGCATTCTGTCGCTAATTAACTATCCGATAACAAACTTTTATCATGTCCAGGTTTGGACAATAAAGCAGGTGGTCTCTTTCCAAAAACAATGACATCTCCGAAAGATAGTTAATGGTTTATTCTTTCCCTCTCTCTCTTGGGTGGCCTGATTACCATTATCTCTTAGCATTCTGTCTTGTAGGCCACTTGACCAATTTGAAACTTTCATTATTGCCATGGGCAGATGGCTATCTCTTATTCGCCGACCCGTAACATAAATTAATTCAACAGATCCGATATCTTACGAATCTCCTATCTTCTGCGAGAGAAAAAAATAACATCGCTCAGTATTATTTTTTTTTGTGATAGCTTCTTATCGCCTTAATTATTTCAGCTTCTTCTCGCCTTAATTATTTCTCGCTTTTCATTTTCACGCGACCGCTAAATAGTGTCACAACAGGACAAATATTTGACTTAATGCAATCGTTCCTGTCAAACCGGGAAATGAAGGTCGCTCTAAACGGGTTCTCTCCCAGTTCTTTTCATATGAACGCTGGTGTTCCTCAAGGCTCTATTCTGGGTCCTACACTGTTTCATCAACGATCATCCTGATGTCATCAGTTCCCAAGTAGGCATCTACGCAGACGGCACTACTGGCATCTCGTCTACAGTCACTTTCTCACAGACGTGATGCGGCTTCCCTCTGTTTTTTTTTTACAAATATTTTCATGACAACTGCTCTGATGAGCTTCTTTCACTGGTACCCCAACTTCATGAATTTAAGCGTGTTACTAAGCTGGCATACTGGTCCCACCCTTTCACTGTCGAAACAGTTAAATGTAACGGCCTCTTCTACTCCAACAGCTTCTTCTCTTGCACTTCCCGACATTGGAACTCCCTTCCTCCTGATAGCTATAATCTTCAAATATACAAATGTAATGTCAATCGACATCTTATGATGTCTTGATCCTGATCCCCGTTCTTCTGCATATGCTTTCCTCAAAGAACCATCTTTACCCTTACTTACTGAGACTCCTTGCGTGCTAGTGGCAGTCCCGCCTTTCCTGGGATGAAATGCTTAAAAAAATAAAGTAAATAAATAAATAAAGAAATAAAAACCAGTAAGAAAGAGCGGAAGAAGGAAAACAAAACACATCTAAAAAAACAGAAAGAAAGGAAGAAAAACGTGTAGAAAGAAAGAAAAAGGAAAGAAAGATAGAAAAAGAAAGAAAGATAACACGGCCAAAAACAATGAAAGAAAGAAAAAGCAGGAAAAAAGAAAGAAAGAAAAAGCAGCAGGAAATAAATAAATAAATAAATAAATAAAAAGCAGCAAGAAAGAAAGAAAGAAAAAAGAAAGAAAGAAAGAAAGAAAGAAATACAGAAAACGTAACCAGAAAGAAAAAAAAAAGGGAAAAAGAAAGAAATTAGAATTCAGGACAAAAACTAAGAAGAAAACACGGTTTTCATAAACATAATGTTTATGGAAATCGTGAAATTCTGTTGAAAGGTTTTCCAGAATAGATAACTAAATGAAGAGGTAAAAAACATTATGATATTTGAATGCAATGAACGAATAAGAACAAAGAAAGTGTAGAAAAGTAGAAAATGTAACAAAAAAAAAAAAAAAAAAAAAAAAAAACTTAATTTTACACCTAATTTCCGAGAAGGTACGAGTTGCTGACCAACGAACAGGCACAAGTTGCAAATTAACGAGAAAAAAAACAAAACAAAAACAAAAAAAAAAAAAAAAACAACAACAAAAAAACAACAACAAACAAACAAAAAAACACATGCTAATTGTTAAACAAACAATGTATAACGCCGGTATCTGATTCTACTTTGTAACTAAATAAGTAAGCTACGTCTCTCTCAACAAAAGCAATTGTTCTGTTAGAAAAATCTCGACTGAAAAAACAAAAAA